CCCCCCCCACTTTTTTTGTATCCATCACCACTCCGCAGAATTGATAGATTAGTTTAAATAGGTTGTTTTCCTTCCTTGAATGGAGCTTTTCAGCAGAGTCCACAATTGTTCGATAAGGCTGAGATCAGAGCATTTGGGATGACGGTTTCAGAGGTATACAACTTTGTCATCCAGAAACCAGTTCTGATGTGTGTTTGGGTCCATAGTCCTGTTGGAATCCTCAACTATATTCAAGTTTCAACTATATTTGTGTTGATTTGAGGTGAAGTTGAAGCATTCAGAGGCAGACTTTCATTTCATTATTCTATTCACTTTGTGCACCAGAACCACAGCATGATACTTCTACTACCATGCTTGACAGTCAGTTCAGCGTTCCTTTCAAATAGACTTTATTCCATCGTGACTTAACAGGTTAGGCTTTGTCTCCTCTAACTTAAAAAAAAGCCTTGTCCATTGAGCTTAAAATGGCCGCTTTCAGAGTAAGGGCTTCTTTGTCAGAAATCTGAATATCCCAACGTCGTAAAATGTAAATAATCCCTCCTCTCTGACTCCCTTCAGGCGTGGGCCGTGGAGACCGGAAAGTTCCAGGAGGGAGTCGATGAGCCCGATCCTGCCAAGTGGAAAGCCCAACTTCGGTGTGCCCTCAACAAAAGCCGAGAGTTTAAACTTGTTTATGACGGCACCAAAGAGGTCCCCATGAATCCTCTGAAGATCTACGACGTCTGCGACATCCCGCAGCCTCATAGTAATCAAGGTAACCAAGCAGTTTGAGGTTTGTTTTTATTAGTTTTCCAAGTTTAACAGTTGTTTCTTGGCCAACAGCCGCTTCAGATGCTGGTTCTCACACTCCATATGATGAGGATTTTGGTGAGGAAGATCTTCCAAATACACCAGAGTCTCTTCCTCCTTATCCATCCAATGGTGACTTATTTACAGGAACTACAAAAAAAGTCAGTTTCAGCATGTCAAATGTAGCTTAATCTCTATTAATGTGAATAAATGTGTCCTCTCAGGAACCAGCCCTTCTCCGAATATAATGTGGTCTCCGATGGGTTCAGATTCATCCATTCAGCCTCCCAGCTGTCCCCCTTCCAATGAGGTCTGGGTCAAAGAGGAGCCTGTTCAAATCTGGCCCAAAGAGGAGCCAGCGGATGTGGAGATGCAGACCACCCCTATGGTTGACCAGCCCACCGCWCCTCTCCCAGATCCCACTCTGCAGCCGGTTCCTCTACCCGACGCCTTCTTTGCCTCTCCAGAAACGTGGATCAGTTCCCTCCCAAGTGAGTTTGTTGCTTCCTGGCGCAGAAATCAAGGCGCCGAAGTGTTTGTCGCACACCACAGGAGGGCGTGCGAGTTTTCAGTAGTGCTGTTCCGTTTTAAAGCTGAACCACGTTCTCTCTGACCCAGTGACAGACCTGGAGGTGCAGTTCCTGTACCGGGGGAAGGAGATGTGTCCCACCATGACCGTGAGCAACCCGCAGGGCTGCCGGTTGTTCTACGGAGACCTCGGACCTATGGTCAACCAGGAGGAGCTGTTCGGGCCCGTGAACCTGGAGCAGCTGCGCTTCCCGACCACCGAGCACATCACCAACGACAAGCAGAGGGTCTTCACAAACCGCCTGCTGGACGTCATGGACCGAGGCCTGATCCTGGAGGTCAGCGGTCATGATATCTACGCGGTCCGTCTCTGCCAGTGTAAGGTGTACTGGTCCGGTCCCTGTGCTCCGAACCCAGCTGCACCAAATCTTATTGAACGGCAAAGGAAGGTCAAACTCTTCTGTCTGGAGTCTTTTCTAACTGGTGAGTAACTTTAAACACAGTGTCCTCACTACAGTTTAAAGATCCTGGGAATTAAAAACCTCATTTAAAGGGGCAATATTATGTGTTTCTCAGGCATATATTTACTATAACCAGTGGTGGGCACCAGTCCGCCAAAGCACAAATCCGCTAATTGCGGACCTAAATATTTTGTTTGCGCTTTAGTGGTCTTACCAATTTTTATAATTCTTAAGCAGATTTACGCTTTCTAAAATTAAAATGCAGTACYGCTAATAACTAATTATCTACCAGTCATCATTATTGTCTTGAACAGCGGAAGGTATGGCTGTCAATGAATCACAACACACGTGATCTGTCCAACAGCACCCCTCCCAGATAAACACATGTGTTGGAAACATATACATCTTTGCTGACAGTTGTTCTCAGTCACGGTTCTCATTTCCCACAATGCTTTGTGTCTGCTTATGTAGCAGGAAGACAATGTTTAGTACAGCCTTTCCCACCAAAAACAGCACGTGTGCTATGATGCAGTTTACTTGGCATCTGAAAACACGTTTCCTCAAAGGTATTTAGAGTCTGAAAAGAGATGAATGAGGAGCTCAGCAGACAGTTTAAGTTTCACTTTCAGTTTCACTCATTCTGCCGAGAGCCTGCAGGAGTCATGGGTGGGGAGGTGTGCTCCGTGATGAGGAAGCTCGGCTTGGAGACACAACCACACAGACACAGACTAACCGTTTCTGGTACCAAAAGGTGTTTCTGGTCCCCACCTGTCGTTTTGCTCCTCAACATGGCTGCCTAAAAACACTGCAGGATTTCTCAAACATGCATGAATGAGTCAAAGCAAGGCTTTGGGCATGTTTTTTATGAGAGTATAACATGATATATAAAACTCAAAAAAGTTGATTTTACATGATATTGTCCCTTTAATTGTTTTTCCTCAGCCCTTGCCTTTGGGGAACGAAGAGTTTTGATTTAGTCACGATTTGAATCGATGACTTGTTGAAGGTGGACTTATTTGCATGTTTCTCTTCCTGATCTGCAGGTGTGATTGCTCACCAGCGTGGCCAGACTCCGAGCCCTCCTCAGTATGAAATCAGTTTGTGTTTTGGGGAGGAGTGGCCCGATGGAAGACCCAGGGAGCGAAAACTCATCATGGTCCAGGTGAGAAATGCTCCAACACAGGACCTTGATGATAACCGGTGAACGACTGGTTTGTTTTATTTCTACAAAGACACTAAATGTTCATTGATTGCTCCAGCAGCTCCGGGTGTTTTCTACCATTTCGTGACAAAAACATCATTTTCTGTTCCTGGATGAGTTTTGTTCAGCAGGTGATCCCGACGAGTAGGAGTATTCGCTCAAATCTGCCGAGGCTGCTGGATTGATTAGTCATTAAAGTTAATATGGTTGMTTTATAACTATAGATAATGCTGCTCTGTTTGGGCAAAATCAATATTTTGTTGTTCAGGTGAGCACTGAGACACTACACCATATCAGGACTGTATGTTGGTACTTTTAAAACAACAAAAAACATGTTATATTTAGATCTTTGAGTATTTTACTGGAAGGAAAGTTAAATTGGTGACTGGTAGATGAAATGGTGTTCAGGATTCACAGCTGGAAAATATGTTTCATGTTTTCCATTCGGGCAAAATTCAGGGAATCTGAACACTGATCTGCTGATTAAAAGATGATCTGTCTGAYATTTTGATTTATACATAGAATTGAGCAATATTGCTCTTTTTTATGTTGCAATATATCTCTATTCAGGACACTGAAAATTCTGTCGGAAAGGAGTCCAGCTCTGGTGGTTTGACCTAACAAACCTGCAGCTGGATGGTCCATGAAGGTGCCCGTCAGCACTAGCCAGCCCACCTTTTCAGGAGTTCGCAAATAACGTTTCTATCACTACTATAGCAGCCTTGTGGAAATTGTGCACATCACCTCAAGTGACTAATATCACCATTTTAATATTTTAACACTGAAATATACACTGCCTGGCCAAAAAAAAGTTTCCACCTGGATTTAACTAAGCAAATAGGTACGAGCCTCATATTGGATGATTTCTGCATGGGCAATAATCTTTCAGCAACAAGTTATTTAACCCCAACAGGTGCAACGTGTTGCTTCTCATTTCTTAAACAACCATGTTGAAAGACAACAAATCATTGGCTAACTGGGGAAAAAAGGCCTCAATTTGCTAGGAAGCATAAAGATTGGACTCTGGAGCAAAGGACGAAGGTCATGTGGTCTGATGAGTCCAGTTTTATTCTGTTCCAGAGTGATGGGTGCATCAGAGTAAGAAGAGAGGCAGGTGAAGTGATGCACCCATCATGTCCAGTGCCTGCTGAACAAGTACTACTGTGCAGTGGGTCAGGTCTAGGTTCAGCAACAGTATGTGCTCATTAGGGCTGGGTTTAAAAAATTCCATTTAATCGATCTGGATCGATTCTCGTTCAAATTTGGGAAGATCGATTCATAAGTCACGAGATCCCCCCAATGGGTGTTGTGTGCGATGAAGCTGCACGTTTCCGTGTTGTGTGTCACTCCTGGCTTGCCGTAGGTTTACAGCTGGCTGACGGTCAATGCTAATGTTAGCTCCCGACAACAAGCTGTCTGGGGCAAAACAAAATAAACAAAGGAATCACTAACATTACAGCTGATTCTCAGCTGAATTTAAAGATAACAGAGGCCATGACAACTTTTGTTTGCAAAGATTTGTGCTCGGACGCGGTAGCGGGAAATGAAGCTTCGAGCGGCTCGAACCAAAACTACGGTACGTAAACATCTGACTGTAACTGTTCTCCTCTTTTATAAATGTATGAAAGATGACAGTCTAACAAAATTGTTTAGTTTTTCTTTTTTTAACCAATGTTTATACATTTTAGAAACATCTTAATGCAATTCACAGTGATGGAATGTTTTAGCTGAAGTACTTTTCTTTCTTTCTTGTTAATTAGTATTATTGAACAGAAGCTAACAGAAACATTACAAATCTACAATTATACGTTCAAAAGAGTGGGCAGAAGTATATTTACATTATCCCACCTCTTCTCCTGTAACCTTATTCCATCACTTCTTAGTGATCAAGAAAATTATTCTTAGTTTCTTAAAAAATAATGTATCAACAACACTTTCTCTTGCAATTCCTTTTTAGTTTAAACCCTTTGAAACTTAAGACAGTTTTGTTTCAAGGTTTGCCCTTAATGTTTATAATTTTACCAATGCACCAAGTTAGAATTAGTTTCTATTTGCAGAATTAGTTCCTTTTCAGAATGTCTTCTGTATCAAAGTAAATGTGTTACTGCTTGATATCCTTAACTAATTTAAAAATCAAACAAACTGAATCGTGAATCGAATCGGGCCCCTGTGAATTGAATCGATACCCAGCCCTAGTGCTYATAGAATGAGGTCAGCTGACTACCTGAATATACTGAAGGACCAGGTTATTCCATCAATGGATGTACAAGCTTACACGCACACACATGCATTAATGCTAATATTCTAGTTTCATTGAGTCCACGTTCTGCTTTTGCGGTGTTCGTAGTACAGGTATCATTTTTGAAAGGTCATGGTGGATTTTAAGTATCTGATGTTGTGCATAAATTTTACATTCCTTTTCAGAAATGGTCCAGATGGATGGCTGTGAAAAAATCTCACATCCTTAGTTTATGGAGACCAGAATCTCAGAGAGAAAATTCATACTTACAGTCCGTTTCTTTGCAGATCATTCCTGTGGTGGCTCGAATGATAACCGAGATCTTTTCTGGAGACAACACCCGATCGTTTGACAGCGGCAGCGTCCGCCTTCAGATTTCGATCCCAGATATAAAAGACAATATAGTGACCCACCTAAAGCAGCTGTACAACCTCCTGCAGAACCACCAGGGCCAAGACGGCTGGGCTTTGCCCCCCGGCCCGGGTCTGAACATCGCCCAGGCCCTGCAGAGTCAGTGAAGCTGCTCACACTGTGAACTCCTATATATCTCTATATATTACACACTGCTACACTCTTAGCAAAGAAGTACTTATGTGTAATCGTGTTTAGAAGTGTGCACAAAATTCTGTTTGCTTTGTCTTTCATCTTTTTTCTGATTTAATAGCTCTCTGAATGTTTTTTTTTTTAGTTTTTTTTTTTTACATGTACAGCGTGTGCCTTGAACCCTGCATGGCTCTGTGTGCAGAACTTGTAGACGGTTTTGGTGGCTGCATGGGTCAAAGTCCAGCTTTCTGCAGAGGGAATATTTATCATTGTTAATCAGTTACAGATATTACCTCGTGCTGTATTTATCCCCTCAGGTTTGTGCTCTCATGATCCATCCGAAAGGTAGCAAACAGTGAATCTGAGCATTTAACCTGAGATTTGTATGTTTTATTGGGGGAAAGTAGATGAGTTAAAGTTTGGAAATCATATATCTTACTAAAGGGGCTAGACGTCCCAGTTTATAAACAAAAAATAAAATACAATATGCTTTTTTTCCTTTTTTTTTGATGTGTGTTTGATTAGGAGTTTGTATTCAGTCGTTTTAATCTGTGTATAGTTTTTTTTGTTCTTGTGTACTCCAGTTGAAGTGTGTTGTTTCCTAGCAGTCTTGTAACTCGATGTTCAGCTTCGTGAATTTCATCAGAAATGGATCTCTCTGCACTTTAGGTGCTGAATTCTTGGTCCAGACCTGTTTGCTGTATTTACCCTGATTGCATGTTGTTGTTTTTTTATCAATATAAAGGCCAAAATAACAACTGCTGAACCAGAAATAAACTCAAATGTTGATTTGTGTGTATACCTGGTTTTAATACTCTTTTCTAACCTTATCTGGTGTAAACACCGGGCTTGTCCGGACCGGTAGTCCTTTTGGAGACTGATTCTAATATAGTGGAACTTTATTTTTGGGTTAAGGGTTTGATTTAGGACTAATGAGTGAATCGAAGGAGTGATTAGGTTTAGGGTTATTTATATAATGTTTAGTGTTAGAGTCAGGATGACTGATTGGAAGTCAAGGCACAAACCTAATAGTGATAGAAATACAAACGTGTGTGTTTTTATTTGCTGCCCTTGGGTCAAAATGACCAGATATTACATTTTATTTCCAATTTTTAATTAAATATATATTTAGAATTAATCCTAATTGCTCAAAAACAATGTTTTTTTTACGAGGTTTAGCAGAAAGTCCACAACAGACAGGCTAAAAATAGACCCAGCAGTGACTCAGAGTCCAGATTAATACAGTTTTATGTGCTGTAGCGGGATCTTATGAGAGCTGAACATTACTGTCAAGGAAAATAAAATAAAGATGGTGACAACTTCTTCAGATTGAGGTGAGAATTAGAAGGTAATCTGAGGAAGTTTTGGAGTTATGGCATAAAAGTTCAAGTTATTAAATCATTCAGTTGTTTTAACACATTATTTCTGTATCTTGTTAGAATTTTGTTAAATAATAAAACATGGTGAATTATAATTAGTTGTTGCTCAGTGGATTCTGTTTATTTTAACCTGAATTGAAGATTAAGAAGATGATTTTATAGGCTGTACTTTTTATAAGTGSTGTTTAAAAACTGGATTAATTTTCTACTACTTAACGAGCTGTAAGGCTGTTACTGGTGTTTATACAGTTCAGATGATCTGTTCTTGGTTTGCAACCAGTCCACATTTACTTTTGAGGTCACCTGTTAATCCATTTAAACTTTGAGGGACAGTTTGAGGTTTTGAACTTGTGACCTTATAAGTAAATGCCCACAATGGCCAACCTCTGCACCACCACTCCCTCAGTGTAGAGTGTTGGGAGTGGTGTAATGTCATTATATATGTCCTGATGCATCTCAGTAATCCAGGTAAAAAATCRAAAAGAAAAAAATTGTATAGGTCTTCTGGACAGGTTCTTCTCTAATGAAACGTTTCGTCTCTCCTCCAAGAGTCATTATATATGTTTATATATGTTACAGCACATTTCAGTTTTCTTGGTTTGTTTTCTCTTGTTGCTCAGTTGTGTGTGAACCATACAGTTTACACACAAAAAGCCAAAATAATTTTAAAAAATGGTGACATTATGGTTAATTTTTCACAAATGGAAGTATCCCTAAATGCTCACAGGCCAGAGAAGTTCTCATTTAAAGCTYTGGAAACTTCAGGGCGAGGCGACTTCCCCCCGGTGTCTCTTAACCTTTGTGACGCCACACTATAAAAACTCACACCCTCATCTGAGACGACTTGCTCAAACCGTTTGGCTGCTGACAGCTGGACCTTGTCCTCCTCTTTCGTAAGGAAGTTTGGATTCGTGTCGAGAAGTCGGATTAAACCATGAACTGGGAAAACTACAAATAAATAAACACGAGGACGTTACAGCTATCCACTGCTGAAAATAAGAGGTAAGAGTTGATGATGTTTTCAGTCTTATTTGACTTTTATTTTTTTTGCACCAATGATGGGGAAGAAAGGCTTGTTAAAAGTCCAGTTTTTAAGTTAATTATTGAATAACAAAGTCATTACAAGTTAATGTTCCTTATAGTTCCAATTACTAAAATAATCAGACTAGTTTGAAAACACGTAGAATAATAAAGATTAAATATTATGGACAAATGGTTTTTTTTTTTAAAGACGCCATCATGACGACAGCATAATGACATAACCGTGCTTCATCAGAGCTTTGTGTTGCCATGAACCCATGAGCAACGACTCAACGATGAGTTTAAATGTTGGTTATTTCAGTTTTGGGAAAAAAACGTGATTGATTAGTTTCATGGGAACAATTTGTCCCTTTAAATGAGTGATTTATGGGTTTATTTCAGAATCGTGTTAGTGAGTCAGCCTGTTTATGGTGTTCAGTTCATGTCGTCCATCATCCTGCAGGTGTGTTCAGACAAGATGTTCAGGAATAACAGCCCTTTCAGCTACGAGACCACCAGCCTCACAGGATCCATCCAGTCCAAGTACGTCATTTCAAAGCTTTAATTATTTGCAGCTTTTATTCACAGACTTAGATGTTTTGTTTTTGTTATCTTAGTGGGTTTTCCACAACGGATGAGACCTCATCACAAATATCCAACATTTCAAAGCCCAGTGCAAAATCTATTTATTGTAAGTGAGCTCCGCTGCTCTGAAAAGGCGATTTTGCTGATTTATTCATAAAAATGAACCAGCTCTCATCTTTGCTTTGTGGTTTTACAGTGCAGAGGTTGCAGTATGCAGCCTCCATGAACAAGATGCTGGAGAAGTTTCAGTACAAAGTGGAGGTATTACTACCATGATGCTTCTGTGAGCCACGCTAAGCTCGTTTTGTTCCTCACTGAGTTTTTATTATTATTATTATTATTATTATTATTATTATTTGATTGTGGTTGCAGCACTTGTTCACTTGCAACCTGGATGGGAAGGAGCTGAAGAACATCAGTGACTGCGTGGAGCGTCTGACGCTGCTGAACCACATGGGTCGTGTGTGGGGTCAGAACATGCTGCTGGAGGTGCAGGGCGCCGAGCTCCRCCTCACTGACATCGAAACAAAGGTAACAAACGAGGTCCTATACCACCTCTAACTGGGTTTTACCTCTAAATTTATTCGCTCGTAGCTGTCCAAGCAAGGATTATTTTTCTGTTGAGTCATCTTCAACACAAACAGACTTTTTGCACACACGGTGCATCAGCTTTGTTTGTACCTGGAAGCTGTGGGTGATACTGCGTGTATGATGTTTTCATTTTAACAAGCTTTCACATGTAATGTTTGTATCTGCTTACATTTTATCTACGTTTTTTAAACTCTGTGAAAGTCATTTAACTCATGTACAAAGTCACAGTGACTAAACATACCTGCACTTTTCACTGCTCTGACAGTTACATGTAAACACTGTTTGTTTGTGTTTTCCCCCAGGAGGAGCTGGAGTCCATCTCTCTCAGTAACATCCAAGAGCTGAAGGCGGTGCTGGACGTGGAAGTGTTTGACTCTCTGCTCGCCATGTCCGTCCAGAACACAAGATCCACCACCATCTACATGTTCCAGAGCGATGAAGTCAGGGTGAGGACACACACACACACACACACACACACACACACACACACACACACACACTTTGTTCCCCCCAAATCAGCCTCCAAAATCGTCCCCCATGAGGATGCAACTTCCTGAAAAATCTTTCCCACCAAGTAGCAAAAACACACACACGCAGACACACACACACACACACCTGACAGTGACTGTTGACAGAAAATATCTTGCTTTTTTAGGCTGATTATGTTCAGAAGAATTTAACACGGCTGATGCCAGAGAAGGATGACCCACACTCCAAGTACGGCAACACGAGCGAACACACACTTCAGCATTTATGGTTGTTTAAAACATTTTCATTAAAACGCTTTCTGCCTTTTTTTTTCAAACAGCTATGCAAAAATCACGCGCAAACAGGAAAGAAGGAAAGCTGCACCAGCGAGGCCTCCTTCTGAAAACGGTGAGATTTTGAAACGATCAGCTCACAGTCAAATAACTCAACGGGATGTTGCCGTACAAAAAYATTTCATATAACTGAACAGAAAGTSTGATGCACGTAGATTCAAATGACAGGGTCAGTTCAGTGAAATGAAATATTTCACTGGTTTTTATTTGTGGCTTCTGCTGTGAAAACTCTTGTGTTTTTTGGTTCACATCATGACACTCCCTCCTCCGTGCTTCACTGTTAGAACCATGAGTTCACTATAAAAGTTATACAAAATTACAGGTGGGCTCAAATAGCTCCAAATGTAAAACATCATTTCTTATTACTGCAGTCAGTTTGTGACAATTTTGTCATGTTAAATGGATAGCTCACATCTTTTCAAGTGTGGTTCTATGGAAAGGTTTGAACCATTAAAGGGGCAACATTATGTGTTTCTCAGGCATATATTTAAATACTATACTATAATAAAG